CGGGGGCACCGCCTGAGGGCTCCCAGTATGTGAGAGGGGCCAGGCTGGGCTGAGGGACACTCCCTGCCCCCACACCCAGTGCACGAATTTCGTGCACCGGGCCCCTAGTCTTATATATGTTGCTATATTGTATGTTTTTTTTGAAATGTTGTAAATCATTTGGGCTACACATTGATTGAAGTCTATACATAAACACAAACTGATAGTTTTAGAGATCCTTCTTTCCAAATTGTTGTAGTTTGTTCATAGAATATACATGCCTTAGTGTTTATAATAAATTAGTGGCCCAGTGCACGAATTCATGCACATTGAAAGGAAATTAATTAGAAAAAATATTTTAATATTGCTATTTGCCCTTTCTCTATAATGGAAGTGTCAAATAAATTCACAATCGACAATGACAGATCGAAACACATGGGTGCGATGGGTGCCGGTGAGAGCTTTATATGTATAGCGCATGTGTGAGTCAACTTAGCCTTTTAGATATATAGAATAAACTTGCTTAATTAGACCTGCTTTCTGATTTAGATATACTTTTTCCATCCCAGTGAAGCACCCCAACTTCTCTTTCAGGTAATTGTCAGCAACACAGCAGTAAATATCAACATGAATCAGATTATTACTGTAGATCAGACAGGCAGAACAAAGGGTAAAATATTTAACTGCAGCAGTGTTTGACTGTATTCTGCGCAGTGAGAAAACCTGAAGTCATTTTCAAATGCCACCATTTCTTCTTTTTAGTCGAGTCAAGTTTCTGAACTTTCTAAATCTTTGTTTTCTCACTAATGAAAAGAAAATAGGATTCCACCGAGTCTCCTGTCTACCTACTCCAGGATTTCTGTGAGGATCAAATGAGATGAGGCACGGGAAAATGCTTTACAGACATTTATTTAAAGTGTGAAATGCCCTGACTGGTTTGGCTCAGTGGATAGAGCGTCATCCTGCAGACTCAAGGGTCCTGGGTTCGATTCCAGTCAAGGGCATGTACCTTGGTTGTGGGCACATCCCCAGTAGGGGGTATGCAGGAGGCAGCTGATCGATGTTTCTCTCTCATTGGTGTTTCTCTCTATTCCTCTCCCTTCTTCTCTGTAAAAAATCAGTCCAATATATTTTAAAAATAAATAAATAAAATAATAAAGTAAAATGTTTGCACCTGGCTATAAAGCAAGTTGGGTTCCTGGGTTGAAGAAACTGCAAGGAGGCTAGGTGTTGCTAGGGAGAGGAAGCCGGGCGTTTCCGGGTTGGGCTGAACTGTGGGCCGCAATTTTGGCCATGGGGTTTCAGCAGCGTTGGCTGTGATTTGGTGGGATATTGCTCCAGGATGGTGGTGGGGCCTGTGCCCCACTTGGGGGAAGCCAAGTGTTGGTTTGTTGACACCAGATCCGTGGTGCTGGCCAATGCACATCATGGCAGCTCTTGCATTGAGTGTCTGGCACCTGCTGATGGTACCAAGTGATCGGGACTGGCACCAGGAACTGGCAGCAGGTGCATGACGCGGCTCTGGTGCTGGCTGCAGGTACGAGCAGGGCTGTTGCCAGCAGTGGGTGCGAGAGGTGGCTGCCAGTCCCAGTTGCCTCTCAGGAGCAGGAGGAGGTGGAGAAGCCCTGAGGGGTGATCGGGGCTGGTGCCAGGTGATGACAGCAAGTGTGAGTGGGACTGGCGCTGGCAGCAGGTGCAAGCGCTGGGTGGGACCATGGCACGTGGGAGCAAAGAATTTTCAGTAACCACCAAAGGCTCACCCCGATGACAGTGACTGGCACCCTGCATTGGTCTGGTGCCCATGCTCACCTGCTTCACCATCCCACCATGGCTATCGCCTGCCTTGTTCTGTGCTCTGCTGCCTGCTGCCGACACCTTCCATGTTCCACTTATACCCCCTGGTGGTCATCACACATCATAGCAACTGGTTGTTCGGTTGTTCTACTGTTTTGTCTATTTGCATATTAGGGTTTTATATATATAGATTAGAGACCTGGTGCACAAAAACTTGTGCAATGGGGCAGTGTCCCTCAGCCTGGCCTGCCTCGTCTCACAGTTTGGGAGCCCTCAGGATGTCCTACTAACAGCTTAGGCCCACTTCCCGGGGAGCGGGCCTAAGCTGAAGTCTGGCCCTTCTCTGTGGGAGGCGACCAGGCTGATCATGGGAAGGTGCCTCCCCCATCACCCCACTGCTACTGCCACTGCCGCCCGCCGGCCCTCCTTGGCCCTTGTAGCCGCTGCGGCTTTGTCTGGAGGGACGTCTGGAAGACGTCTATCTGGTCTAATCGGCATATTACCCTTTTATTAGTATAGATAGATGGCTTCTATACAATTAAAAAGTTAAACTGGGAAAGAGCAGGTAGGACAACCATAAACTATGTAGAAAATGCTTTTTGCTAAATATGTTTGCCTAAGGCTGTTACAGCTGTGGGATGGTGGCTCAATAATAGTACTTGCTTTAAGGAGCTTGCATACCCAGTGGGTCCAGCAGCCAGTTCTAGAAGAAGCAGGAAGTAAGGCCTAGGCTATATGTGAGAATATTCTAAAGCTCTAGGCTAAGCTTTGTTCTAATTTCTTAAGTGGGCTGTAAGGCTTCCTGCCCGGAATTTTGTGACACTACCTTACCTAATCTTTGATGATGACTGTGAAACAGAGAAATTTAAACCAGGCAGTTACTGTGTTTGCTGTGGTTGAAACAGATAGGGTAGTAAGAATATACCTGAGAAGCAACATTATGTAGTTTTCTGGAAGATAAGACAGTAGATTTCATAATCTATTCTGTATTCTGAATTTACAGAGCCTGCATTGATTCGAATGAAGACGGGGACTTGAGTAAATCTACTGTATTGAGAAACTACAAAGAAGCCCAAGAATATAGTTCTTTTGGCACAGCTGAGATGTTGAATTACTCCGTTAATATATATGATGATGGAAACTTGCTCTCTATTGTGACCAGTGGAGGTATTCTGTTTCAGATATGCTAATTAGAGTTAAATTTACAAAGTGCAAGATGATAAATTTCTATAGCCAAAAGCAGCCTCATAGAGAATTTAGAGATTGCAACTGAAGAAGTAGGTCTGGAATAATAGATGTAATTTGGTTCCTTGGCAAAGTGTTGTTCCTTAAAATCATAGTCATGTAGGATCCCTTCCAAGAATATAAACATGGTCCAACCACAGAAAAAATCCATCAGCATAATTCATCTAAAGAACAGTAATTTCACTTCCAAATATTAATCTGAGAGAAATTCAAACTGTTTTTTAAATGACACCAAATGCTATAGTAAAGATCTTTTTACCTGATTGTACTGTCAGGTGAAACAAACTAAATACCCATCAACAAAAGAATAGTTTTTTAAAAATATTGTGTTGTTCATACTGTGGAATATTATACAGCAATCAAAACATTTTTATATACCTATATCTCAAATATATAAATTTTATATATATTAGTGATAAAACGTGTAAAATATGCCATATACTACACAGTGTTTATGGATATGTGTGTGTATATGGTAACAATATAGATGTAAGTAAATGCACACCAGCTTCTGGATAGTGGTTATTCCTGGTGAAGGAGCAAAGGGAATGAGGTCAGAAGACTTTAATTTTTTTTTTAACTTAAATTTCATTTTTTAGCTACAGTTTACATTTATTATTTTGCATTAGTTTTAGGTACACAGTATAGGTTAGACAATCATATACTTTCCAAAGTGTGAAAGACAACTCTTTATCACCCCCTTCCCCAACTTAAGACATAGCTAAATAGCTAAAGCACAATATATACTGTGTGTGTGCGCACACACAATTTGATAAGTTTTGAAAGATGCATACTCCCAGGAAACTATCACCACAGTCAAGTTAATGAACATTTCCATCACACCCACAGTTTGCTTGTCTTCTTGTATAATCCAGTCCTGTCTCCACCCACAATCCCAGCTAGCCACAGAACTGCTTTCTGTCACTCTAGATTAGTTTACATTTTCTAGAATTTTATGTAAGTGGAATAAGAATATGTTTTTTGGGGTGTTTCTTTTGTGTGTGTGGTGTTTTGTTTTGTTTTGGCCACCCTTATTTCAGGGTAATGGTTTGAAATTTATTTATATTACTAGAGGCCCAGTACACAAAAATTTCTGCACCCGGGAGGGGGCGGGGGGTCCCTCAGCCCGGCCTGTGCCCTCTCGCAGTCTGGGAGCCCTCGGGAGATAACGACCTGCTGGCTTAGGCCTGCTCCCGGGCGGCAGAGGGCAGGCCCAATCCCTAGGTGCAGCCCCTGGTTGGGCTCAGAGCAGGGCCGATTGGGGAGTTGGGGTGCCGTCCCCTGTCATGCACAGAGCAGGGTGGATTGGGAGGTTGCGATGCCACCCTCAGTCACGCTCAGAGTAGGGCCGATTGGGGGGTTGGGGCACCGCCCCCTGTCACACTCAAGGCAGGGTCGATGGGGAGGTTGCGGTGCCACCCCCTGTCACGCACACAC